GCCTACAACATTTAGGAACATTTCTTTTTAGCAGCAGATGGAACCACTTAAAATTTATTTGCCTTTTTAAAACAAAATATTTTCTTCCAAAAGTAGTTCGGTGTATTAAATTGACCTGGCAACAAAAGAGTAGGACCTCACAAACCTAACCGTATCCCGCCACTGATATACTAAGAAACCCACTATTCCATTTTAGGGTAACAAAATGGAGAGCAGTGTTGGGATAGATAGGAATGGCACAATTCAATAATATCGATAAGATGGACTAAGCAGTGGAGTAGCGAGGTCGGGTGTCACCCGGTGCGGCACTTAATGGTGTCACCCCCCCCCCCCCAGAGGCGTAGCGACTCTTCCCGCGGACAAACTTTCAATTTTCGATTTGCACCCCCCCCCCCAAACTTTCGATTTGCGCCCCCCCCCAAATAATTTTTCTATATATTTTACTATTGTTTGCCTTGGTGTCACCCCCTAAATGGTGTCACCCGGTGCGGTCCGCACCCCCGCCCCTCTCGCTACGCCTCTTGGAATATGTGCGACAAAAAGTAATTCACCTACAAATACTCACTTGGAATGTTGGGGTCAGAGCTTCATCCAGGCATTTCTTTGAAGAAAGTCTACCCCCCCCCCCCCCCCCCCCCGAACGAAATGGAATGTATATAGAAAACATATACTTTTAGCAGTGTCCGCCCCCCCCCCCCCCCCCCCGGAAAAAAGAGTCTGGAAGAAACACTGGATGTATTGTACTTAACTTCTTAACTTTAATATCTTCCTGATTCAAAGCTTTCACAATTCAGTGATCAAAATAATCTAAATCTTGGATGAATCTAGAAAATCTGAAATCTAGAAAAAAAAAACAACAACCTAGAAATACCATTCAAAGTAACCTGTTTTCAACTGAAACAGCGACGGGCAAATCTAACCTGACATTCTAAAAAAAAATAAAAAGATTGCGAAATGAGAGGGGGTGGGATAATAATGCTGCTTTTAACATACCACCACATGCACAAACACCCAAGTGTTGCGACAAATTTTAAACTCTTTTTAAACAGTTTGCGCTAAAACGCCACCGCGAATATGCTCCGAAAACAAAACGCAGGATGTGAATTGACGTCATGCAACAATGCTAAGGACATGAATGAATGTCATGTTGTCTGCATACGCGTCATTCAAATTTCTGAGTATTTCAAGCTAAAGGATTCGTCACTATTTCCGGAAGTCCTTCTAGTTTCCACGCAGGCTACACCTTTGACGCATGACTTGTTTTGTTAGAAGAAAAACTTTTTTTTTTCCTTTACATATCTATTTGTATGATCTCTTACGCAACTTGCATTGGAATGTATAGTTTAATGCGTGGGTGGATATTTATTAAAACGTTTGGAATGTTTCATTCATCACGGAATAAATGATCACTTAACATTTTTTTTTAAATCTTGTAAAAACAAATTCTTAAATCGTTTTTAATTTTAGCCCACATGTTTACACTTGCATCTCTAAAGGATATTAATTATTATTGGATAATTAGCAAATGTCTTAGTGCAATGTTTCCCAACTTGGGCCCAAGTTTTTTGTTCATAGGAGCAATTAAAAAATGTCCATGCCCAGATTTTAAGTTAACCTGTATGGCGATCCTCATCCCCAGTGTTTCTTCCAGACTTTTTTCTCCGGCGGGGGGGGGGGGGGGGGCACTTGAAATTTTCGGGGGGGGGGGGGGGGGGCGGTAAACTTTCTTCGGGGGGGGGGGGGGGCGGACACTGTTAAAAGTATATATTTTCTATATAAATTATATAAATTTCATTTCGTTCGGGGGGCGGTAAAAAATTTTCGGGGGGGGGGGGGGGGGGTTCGCCCCCCCCCGAAGAGATGCCTGGAAGAAACTCTGCTCATCCCTACTTGAGCTTGGTTTAAATAATTCCTGTCCGCCACATCGTGTTGGCGCAGTATAACAGTACTCTCCTGCGAATTCAGTGGACGGATTTGAGTGAAACCTCCATTCGTAATTTTCCAGTCCTGTAAGCATCATTTTTCCAGGGGGGAAAAAAGTCAAATGAAAAAGCATTTTTGTTTCAATATTTTAATGTGGAATAAACTTATCATACATTTTAAATATTAATTTTTAGTATACACTGACTCCGGGTCACATTACATTTTTTACTTTCTCGAATACGATCTGTTTGGAGGTATTGTAATCGTGCAAACAATCGAAATCAAGATTTTGGAAAAACTCAAATTTTGATACATTCCTGAATACGTTTTGCATTCTTGTTTGTTGGTCGTTCTCAAAAATATATTAAAAAAAAAAATTACTAAGGGTGTTTGCTCAAGAATTTTGTAGTGATTTCTCCCTAAAACATAATCAGAAGGAAAAATAATGTAAAAGCGTAAATGCTAGGTGTAGTCAAATTTTCATTTGCAGGGGTTTTGCTACAAAGGCGGGTTTGAAAACAATTGTCTAGTATCCAGTGTGTTTAGAATCAACAAACATGTGACATAAATAATTTAAAAATTGTTTTAAAAAAATAAAAAGACGTAGTATAAATTAACTCGCTAAATATATTGGTTCATCAGCCCAAACATGGTTTCGGAGGTTAATACGAGTCAGAACATTTATATGTATATGTACATTTTCTCTTGCATCTTATACATGCTATGTAGTACTAAAATTATATATCGCCTTTTCTAAGACCAACAGCCAATATATTTTCTACATTTATATGAATCCCCGCCCCTAGATCACGCGAGTTTTAAATACATTATTATTCCATCTTCTGACAGAAAATTGGTTATTTTGAGAGCGATACTAAGCTCTATTTTGTGTTCAAAGTTACCCGTTTGTATCACAATATCTATCCAACCATTTTAAATGGCACAACATTAACAACAATAAGAAAATCAAAGTAAATATTATATACCATACACTCACACTACCCCATGTAACACAATATAACAGAATAGTTGAGTACACTTTGGCTCCCTGTTCGTTATAAAAAATATTATAGGCCTAATCCAAATATGGTAGCAGGTCTTCCTCTTTTTAAAAATGGATTTTCATAGTGCTGATTATGCAGTTTTGTTATATAAATAAAAAAGGAAGACCCACTTCCATATTTGGATTATACTGTCTTATTTTTATAACTTGGGATATACCATGAGTCACCTCTACAGGTTTCCCCGCCAAAGTTCATGGTTGAGTTCGTTTCAGGTCGTTCATCTCGCATCAATAAACATTCAAAGGCGTATCTCCATGCATTGGACTTTGGACCGTACACAGTAAATATCAACTTCCAAAAACCTGGGCTTTTAAAAAATTGTATTAAAAAAAATACATCTTACATTTGTTTTTTTTTATTTAAAAGTCCCTCTTAGAGTTAGAGGCCTTCTCCCTTCCCCTATTTAACATCTATATTATACACTAAACTTAAAAATAGGCTGATGTTAAATTGTATCAAATGTTAAATCATAAATTGATTACAACATATTCAATGTGAATTTATAATATTTAGATCGGCAGGTGCGAGTTTTGTTTTAAAAAAATATAAAAGCTTCACAATATCTTAATTTCTACCATTTACCAGAGGTCATGCCTATGGACGTTACCGTGACATGACTTTTATAAAAAAATTTGCATTCAAATTTTTAGTGACGTATGCCAACAACATGTTGTTGACGCCTACTGACCTTCACCGATTTTTTTTTGTTCCTGTGATATGATGTAATTTTCTATTTATAGATAACGTAAACAATTTTTTAATATAAGAATACTTAGAACATAGCAGAATTATGTTTATACTAGCTATTTTCTAAAGTTATTTATTATTATTTGGAACTTTCAGTTTGCTATCTCCAATAATCTTCAGATGACTTTGAGTTGCACAAGAAAACTTTTTTTTTCAACGGAAACTTATGTATGCAAATTGTATCCTAACGCGTTCGTGACAAATTTTCGGTTAGAAGTTTCGCTTTCCCATTGGTCGATTTTCGCTGACGTCGATATATTTCCGTGAACAAGTCACGGGACCGATCAAAACAAACCAACGTTGCGAGCACGACAACCTAGTACATAAAGTGGTGAAAGATCTTTCAATCTAAAAGATTTTTTTGAACTTACATCAAACTAAAAGGATATTATTGTTTAAAAAGTGAGTATATTTTTCTAAAATGTATTTTATTGTGTGAGATATATTGATATTCCTTAACTAGCTGCGAATAAGTGATGAACACTCTGTTTTCACCAGCTAGATTCTAGTTCGACAGATTCTGGAAGAGTAGTCTAGAAAAAAAAATGAGCCTAACTAAATGATCATTTTCTAGAAGTTTCGAACACAAAAATAGCTCGTACATATCAGTACAAATGAATAAGGCTTGAAGCTTAAGAATACGGATAAGCCATAACATTAATAAAAATACAATATTTCATCTGCTTAACGAAAATAACGTGTTTCTCTCAAAATCTGCTTTGTTTACGTTCTGCAACACAACGTGACCTGGGTGACCTCGTTAAGAAAAAAGAGTAATGGCGCGAGGGAATGAATCAGGCATGCGGAGCGTGGGCTAAGTCCACTCCTTTGGCCTGTGTTTTGGCTAAACGGAATTTCCCACTTCACTATTTTACATCATGGGTGACTGGCGGTACCAGTCTGCCTTGGCTTAACTTAAAGTTAGATATAGATAATAAAAGAGGATAAACATTAAATGTAAATTTCTACCTAGATCTAGATATCTAGATTAGATTTTAGATCCTTCTCTTTATTCTATCTATAGTCTATAGTATTCTATTGGCTAGTTTTGAGTTGTGCAAGTCTATTGTTTGCCGTAAATTTTCTTTTGGATTATTGTAACTTGACTTGATCATTGGGAACTTTCAATATTTGTATTCACTTAATTCTATTTGTATGTGAGCAATTATTTTCTATTAAGTAGATCTATTTCTACTTTTTGAATTGTGCAGCTGTGTCTACTCTACTAGATCTAGAATCCACTAGGATATGCCTAGATTCTATTAATTTAAGACTTAAGAATACTGTTGTGTTATGTACTGTACTGATAAGGATTTGACTATAAATAATTAAACTTCGGCTTTACAATACAGTACTACTAAAAGTAAAACATTTAAAATACAATGGATTTACCAAAACTTTCTCACAACTTATTGCCACTACCGGTTAAGGAAGTAGTTAATACACTACGAACTTCATATAAATTAAACAGACAGCGGTGAGTTGTATAACATGATTTTCTGTTATTATGATTATATATACACGTATATTGGCTATAGGGTAAATATATGTATTTAATATACATATATATATAAAGTATAGCCTATAGGGCCTACCTATCTTTAATAATAACCGAGCAAACACATCAACTTAGATTCGAGGGTGAAACATTGCCATCAGTTGGCACTTCGCAGTTAAAAACTTTAATGAAATATATGCAGTTTAAGATAAACAGTTATGGCTGTTCATTTGTACTTAAAAGTATTTTATAGTCATATTTTGTGTCGAAATAGATTATTTACCCATTTCTATTCTTTCCATAGCCCGCGAAGATTATCCAACATCTATCCTGAGTATTCACAGAAATATCCAGTCATTCCATTAAAATCAAGATTGGCTCAAACTCCGTCAGGTGTGAACTCGTCACAGCCATTCTTCCCACCTGATTATGTGCCTATGACTTTAAAAGTGAGTAATGAAATTTGTTAAGCTGTTTTATTTAAAAGATAATGGGCTTAAGTTGTATCTGTTTACTTCAACTTAGAATTTTGGTTAATAGTGTGAGGACAGTGAGTTGACATTTTAAAACTGGGTTGTGGGGGGGGGGGGGGGTGGAGATAGACTGTGAACTATATCTGTTTTGAGAAATATACCTTGAATATATTTTAGATTTTCTAATTAAAGAATGAAAAATTGATCTAATTCTATATTCATCTTTCAATCATCAACAGAAGCCTACAGCTACAGTAACAAAAATGGATATGTTTGTACCAAGTCCTGGGCAGATAAATGTTACCAGCCCAAATACATCAATCTATGAGAACGACAGAGTTGATAGAAACGTTTATTGTAGAAATACCAGACCTTTTTCAAACCCAAGTGTTGAATCTGCACTTTCAGAAGATATGGGTAATCTTGATGACAAAATAGAGGACAGTACACTCCAGAATTTGTTGACACCAGATGTCATGAACACACTGCAAGCTGGTTTAAACTCTACGTCTGAACTGTTTTGGTCAGAAAAACTGGAAAATACGCCATTACATGAAGGAACTGATGCCTTTGGAGCAAATGCCACCCTGGCTCAGCTTAACCTTGAGCCGGACTTGTCTTTTGTAAATGATGTTTTGGGATTAGACCAAGATGACAGCAAAATGGGCTATTCACCTTTAGAATTTTTGTGCAATGAAGTGAATTCAAGTAGTTGTCATTCTGTGTCGTCAAATACAGCAGATTGTTCTCCAATAAATGTCATGTGCCCATCTGATTCAACAAGGAGATTTACCGCGTTAGGTAGCTCTAGTGTTGATCATCAGAAGGATTTGAACAATGTCGGACAGACTTATGTCACAAGCATTGGTCCAGTTAAACACAACTTCCCACCTCGGGCCTCACAGCCCCCACTGATTGGTGTTGTGGCGCCTGTAAAAAAGACAAAAGAGGAGAAATATATTTCCACAAACGATAATGACGAATGTCATAAAGATCTCCAGTCGCAGTCGCCAAATCTCCACAAGCTTCTCTGTAACCCTTTTTCACAGACAGTCAAGTTAGAGCCCCATAACTCTACAAAGTCCACTTACACAACCCTTGTTGAGGTACCTGCACAGATTGTGCCATCCTCTGGTGCCCCGAAAAGAACTAGCAGTGGTCAGATCAAACAGGAACCACTCTCACCTGGAATAGAGTTCAGGCCTATGTTTAAACAGGAACTGTTGGTAAAGGAGGAATCAACTGAAGAGAAGTGGAAAGACATTGAAAACTTCATTCACAACCCTGATGAAACGCATTTGATGAAAAAGAGAAGACGTTTTGGTATGTATTTCCCCCAAATATTTTTCTAGATTTTAATATAAGTCTTTAAAATGTTGGTAGTGTAACCAGCAACTTTATTTTAATAATTTGTCAATCTGGTATTGTCAAACCCAGAGTCTAATATAACACACTATCACTGGTTATAAACATGGGTTTTCTCATGTTATATATGCATTTAATTTTTTAGCACTTATTAAGGATCAGTTTCTAGGAACCCCCTCAATGAGACTTATTTCTCTTATTTACAAAGAGTTTAGTTTACCATCATATTATTTTTAACCAAGTTTTATTGGAGGTCAGATTTGTGTTCTATTACTATTGTATTAACAAAATTTTAATCAATGGGATAACCTCATTCCCAATGGAAATGAGTAAGTTGATTAAATCATGTAGTGACTCAGTCACTTTAGAGAACAGTGAGTCAGTACTGTCTTGGGGTGAGTATGGCTGTATTGATTCAGCAGCCGGCGCTGGTGATGGAATCGTGAGCCTACTATTGATAGGAATGGATTTTTTTTAAAAAGACTCACAACAAGTTTTTACAATTTCTTACTACAATCTGCTAGTAGTAAAAACAAAGTCAATACCGGTTCGCGAACGCAAGGTCAAGGTGTCTCGTGTAATAAAAAAAAAAGGTTTCTGTCTGGTAACCTTTCGCTGTTTACAACATCCCACTTTTTGTAACCCTGACCTTGATTAGGTTGATTAGGTTTTCATCGATCTTGGCAGGTTTTATTGATTATCATTTGTTGACGTCTTGTTCGATTATTTTCTCTCCAAGAATAACAATTGATTTTGTCGGGCTTATACAGAGTAGCCCTACCGGTTAGGGAAGGAAAACACCAAATACGGTCACCACAGGTCATTGTCCTTACGTGATTCTAGGCTACTGGTCAGCCAGAAACATTTTTTCTCAAAATAGTTATTACATTCAGATTAGGCCTACTTTTTCTTAATACTATGTTTTGGCGATGGAAAAGATGGCGATAGATCTAGCCACTTCAAATGTTTTGTGTGATACAGCGGGAGGACAAGGAGTGGTGTGGTTAGGAGTAGACTTTGTACCCTAGGTGTTGATTCTGTGTAGGGTCGTGACCTCTGACCCAGTTTTACACACCAGTGTTGTGAATGATTCAGCGGAGAGTAGCGCCCCCTTTCCAGTTGTTTTGTAAGCGAGTTAACTACAAACGGTTAACCCGTCCACGCACGTTATAAAATGCTGCTTTATATTGAGTTTCCCTCCACCTTATTTTTTTCATTGTTCAGCTTAGTAACCAAGTTCATAAACAATTGTTAAAAAGGTTTAAACTCAGGTGTATAAACATCACCATGATAGATGTATAACAGTCACTAAAATGATCGATCTATAAAAACTGTAGATTGTAATAAAAAGTGATCATTTTAGGTCTACTCTACATATTAATTGTGACACAGGTAAATGAAATAACAAATATGGATATTTTTACAGGTTTGACGTTACTTAAGGCTGTGAGGGGGGGGGGGAGATCTGTTTTTTTTCTTCTGCCCGTTTTGCCAAGAACCTTGTAAATACATAGATGAACCGCTAAAAAATTAATTTAAAAAAAAAAGTCTTTTGTAGAGAGTAGCAATGAAACACGACCCCCATGCCCAACCCTTGAAGTTAGGCCTAGCGGTATGTTGTTGACTTGTACTGAGCATACCTAGTCATTTCCTCAATTTTACCACTCCCTACTCACAGCACACCCCACACTCTAGGATACGAGCTGTTTTTTTTTTCTTTCTTTTTTTTTTTTTACACAAACAAGTAGCCCATCTGAGTTTAGGGGTTTATTAATCAAGTTTTAAAACTTTAGCGAGAAGAGGATTTATGTGTGCTTTAGCGTTTAATCTAATGACAGATTAAAAGCTTTTAACGAAATAGTCTAATTCATCAGTTTTCCGTTAGTTTAATTATTTCGTTTACCGGCGAGATTGTAACAGATGGACGTTGTTAATTGCCCGATGTGTGATAGATTCAAGTATTTAGAAGCGATTTCACCCAGTACCGGTTGGGATTTAATTTGTTCTAGATCTATCACTCCTTTCGCTGAGACCTAGAATCTAGATCTTCGTTGTGTTTTTAGTATTTGCTATAAAAATTTTTTTAAAAAATATGAGCGATCAAGGAAGAACAAGTAGGCCTATGTATTTGTAATTAACATCCTGGGAATATATTCATATGTATATAGAGAATAGGTGAAAGGTCATTCGAGTTGACGGTAGTTGTACATTATTCGTGTAAGGATTACGGATGAACTATTCCAGTGAATACAATTGAGGAAGAGGAACTGATGCGTTGAGTGTTTGGCATTACTATAGAATTCCAGATTAAAATTTGTTCCTGGATATTAAGATCCGTTTTGGAAATTCTCCCTAGCCTTTAGAATTTCCCATACCGCCGTCGAGCTACATTAGATATAATTAAATAATAAATACGCTGTCATTTGTTTATGTTGTTAATGTGGCGTGGGTTCAAAAATTGATAGATTGTCAGATGAAAAAATAAAGCGGTAAACAAAACCAGATGGACACCGCCGCTACTGTTTTATTTGATACTTTTCCCGTTCTTGGGAACGATATTTTGTCAGTATTAAAAGGTAACAAAAGTGGTTATTTTTCTTATCAACCTTGATGCCCCCCCCCCCCCCCCCCCCCGCTATAGTCGCAGTAAGAAATAAAGCCTATTTTTATACAAGTAGACCAAACAACTAACCAATATTTTATTATACCTGGCATAGTTCGTACTCACGAACTTAACGATGAGGGGAAAAAATATAGCGAAGATAAATTTAGCACAAACCTTGATCTAATAGGCCCACATTCCAAGACAGTTTTTTTAAAAAGTTTGTGTTTATGTAAACTAATGCTTGGTTGCTGATAATACTTTTATATTATAATATTAAATTTATATTTCCAGATTCAGGCAGTTCTAGTCAAATATCTGATGATGATGATGAATGCTCATCTTCATATGGTGGTAAAGATGAAGATGGAAGTGATGATGAGTACTCAGATATCGGTAAGAATAAAATCACATAGAAAATTAATAATTCTGATATTTAGAGAATAGTGTTAATATTATGTATCTTTTTAAAGTTAACACTTGAACTAGGATTTATGGTTGTTGACCTAATTTTTTTGTTTGTTTAGATGCAGACATTGTGGACATGTCCCCTACTGAGTGTGAGTCCCTCATTGCCATGGGCAAAAAACAAAAACAATACTTCTGGCAGTACAACGTGCAATCAAAAGGCCCTAAAGGAACAAGGCTTAAGCTTTCAGTGGAGTCACCGGCAGACCCCCATGTTTTGAACGACTTTGAAGACCCAGTGTTTGATGAGTGCAACACATCCATCGCTGGTATCCGGCATGGCGGGAAGGCAAGAAAAGGTGACGGCAATGAGATTACACCCAACCCCAGAAAGCTGTTTATGATTGGACATCAGTTGATGAAACTCAACCGTCAGATCAACGCTTGTCAGTTGGGCTCAGACGTACCAACTGCCAAAAGAAACGAGTCACGGAAGGAGAAAAACAAGCTGGCGTCAAGGGCATGCAGGTTAAAGAAAAAAGCCCAGCATGAAGCCAACAAAATCAAGTTGTATGGACTAGAGCAAGAACACAGTAAGTTTATTTTTACATTCAGTTTGAGAGTAGTTTTATGTCAAGGAATTATAATCAAATTTTTTTGAGTTAACAGAAATACTCAGGAAAATAATCTGATACATCTGTGGTGCAATATCACAGTGCTTTTTTAATGTTAACGTTGTTTTAGTTTTAAAATTTTTAGTGGCATTTATTTAGTCATATCAAAGTAACAAATGTATGTGTTAGTAGGAACATGATTTTGGAAAAAAAAGTTTGAATAAAGAAAAGAAGTCAATAAAATTACTGATGATAATTTTCTAGTTTTGCTGCCTACAATGTTTCCCCTTGAAGTGATAAACTTGTTCATGATGATGATATTTTTCTTCAGGTCAGCTGAACACAGTGTTGCGATTTATCTGGCCACATATTCGTGACCGGGCTCAAGTACTACTTAATCAGGCAAAGCCTTTCTACCCATGTAGTCCACTGATGACTATGATTGAAGAAAACATTAACCAGAATTACAGTGAGTATTTATTTTATTAATTTTGGCTTAACTTATTAAAAAGATTTGTTTTTCTTTGGAAGTGACAAAATAAAATATAATTTTCAAATGATACATTTTTCTAATGATTTTTCCTTCCTTTCCAAATAGAAAATCTGATTGCTGGCAATACAACGGACTATGTCAACTCAGTCATTTTGAAAGTAGAAAGTGGTGACAACAATGGAGGGTTGACAATTAAAAAGAACAGAAAAACATGAATCTCACATGTGACATTTAATAAATAACAGCAACATAGCCATGGCTGTTTTGTAAACACTCTTATATAAACTGATTAGTTAAATAACTCTTGTCTCAAATTATGTTTTTAAACCCCTTTGTATTAATAACACAGTTTTTAATGTTTAATTACCTTTTCTTCTGAAGACAAAAAATTCTGTTTGGCTTTTGAAGCTTTTATTTTGTGCCTTACCAAAAGATTTAGGTTTCAAACCCTACCTTATTTGACTCTGAGGCACAGAATGAAAGTGCTCTCCATACATAATACATTTTACTGCCACCAGTTTTTTCTAAAACATCTGATAATATTGAAGAACTAGAGCATCCGTTTTATTTTGTCTCTGCTGTTTGAAAAGAAATTTTAAATTATGTTTTTATACAAATGACAAACTTCATTCTCAATCGTCTTTCAATTTTAAAAAATGACTCTTAGTTATTTTTCAAAGAAGGTTTTTTCAAAACTTTTAAAATTGGTTTATTTCTACTTGTGGCATCATATATGCAGCATAAAGACACTTGACACATACTAAAGCATGCATTTCATGTAAATACATTTACAGCTTTTTTTTTATACTGTGCTCAAAAGTATGTGGACAACTAAACCATATTGTTAATTTGATTGAAAATGATGGTTACTCAAAATATTTTTTAAATAGCCAACGCTATTTAGAAACTAAATGATCTGTAAAAAAAAATTGAAGTTTTCTGTTGATCATTTACAAAATTGTATTATTTCTAGTATGCATTTCTCAGGCATTTATCACTATCATTCCTTGTAATTTTCAGTTTATATTTTCATTATTTTGTTTCCTACAGTACATTCTTCACAGTAAAACATTCTATTTTTCTCCACAAAAGAAATCCATTTAAATCTATTATGTAAATATTAGTCTAGTTGCTGTGTGTTGTTTGAGTAGTTTAAAGCTGAACTTATTGTACATTGAGTAGTTCTGTGTTATTCAATGATAGTTGTACATAGAAAGCTGCTACTCCGTGTTAATACAAGTATTTTTGTAGTAACTGTAAGAAGCTGTTGTACAAATAATAGAGCTAATTTGTTAATTTTGTTTCTTCAGTATTATGATCATTTGTTTCCCAGTAACCTCGTAGTTATTTCCCAATATCAATGTCATAGTTTTTTTCCACATCACTTGAACAATGTTAACAAGTCCATGATTTACGTAAAATCTACATATCAGTGTTTTGTGAACATTTTAGAAAATTTCTGTACTGTCATGCAGTATCTTATTTAGTTATTAATCTTGGTATCTGTGATATCCTTTAAAACTGATGTTCACTGAAAATTTTACTGCCAAAAACTTGAATCCTACTCTGATAATTTTTTTATAGTGATTTTTTTTTTTCTATACTCAACTTTTCACTAAATACTTCTTTAAAATTATTCATTTTAAAATTTACTGTAAATAATTAACCATTATGACTTTTTAAGTATTGTTTGAATATTTGTAAAACAAAGTCATAGGTGTTGTTTATGCATTCATCAGAATGTAATTGAAACAGGTGTAGTTAAATATAGTTGTAGAACAAGAAGTTCACCCTGTATAATTTCATTCTCATTTGTCAATCACTGTTGAGACTACACATTGTACCTTAAAATTAAAAAAATTAAAAAATTAACTCAAACACGATTTATAAAAATGTTGAACAAAAACGACAGCAATACAATAATGATTTTGTTTATAAGTTATTACTGATTTGACATTTTTTTGCTGTAAATAAAGTCTTAATGAAATACCGTCATTGCCTTCTGGATAACCAGCCATTTTTATGACTATTTTTGAGTATTTTTAAAGTTTGCTTTGTGAATTACTATTTATTGAATGGCTTTAAAGTTTTTACTTTTATTATAACTTTAATGATTAGGTACTTGTGTGGTTTTAATCATGTAATATTTCTCGTCACCAATTATGTGTTTGTACAAAAGTGTAAATAGATGTCACATGCTGTTTTTGTAAATACAACAAATTGACTTAAGAATATGAAAAAGACTTTCTGAATTTTAATGTTTAATAATAGTTACAAAAAATACAAATTTTTGTGATCATTTTTCAGTTGTTATATTTAAGAAAACCTGATGTGATATTATATTGTTGACTATTTTGTGTAATAAAGGTTAAAAATTTATTTTGTCTTTTATGTATATTTCTTGTGTGACTTTGTTGTTCTGTTTGGAAACTGACCAGATAGAGTTTAAAACTAATCATCTCTATAAAAATTAGTTATTGAGTGGTAGATAAATATACAAGCTAAGAGTATTCAAATTACATCTATTCAGATAAGACTAACAGGTTAAACAAAGCATTAGGATAGAAAAATTATAAAATGGAACACTCCTAATCCTATATTATAGAAACGTCCAGGCTAAGTTAAAACAATGATTATGTAAGAGCTCTTGGACATAGACAGAATTAAACTGAGTGAAAGAACTCAAATGTTTTTAAAATGTTTTATTTTAACCCTATGTTAAGGTTAATCTTTTGTTTAAATCATACAAAAGTGAGCCAACAATGAATCCAGATTATTTTTGTTGCACTGCACTGTGTGGTCTACAAAATGAGACTTAGCCTATTTACTATTTTTAATTTACTTCCTACAACCTTGTATACAAAAAACAACATGCAAGCCAAAAGTGGCCTTGCTTATATTTATTGCTAGGCCTAGTTTGCATAGGTGTAGGAAACATGTCAAAGGGCAGTAAGCCATTTGTTGAACCTCACGTTTGGAAATAGTAATACTAATACTAAACTAAGTCAGTAGTTTTCCGTTTAACAATTACATAGTTAAAAAAAAAACTCTTTGAAAAATAACTACGTAATGTTTTAACAGCATAGATTAGAACCATGTGGTTTTGTAGAATGAATACTTATGACATCCCATTACATTTTGTTTTTAAGTAGGCCTATTGTTCTGTAGGCTTGACCAATAATAATAAATAAGATACACGTGTACAGGATGAAGTCTGCATAAATTTTAAACCAGAAATGTGGAGTACCGGTATCGCTATCTTGATAACGCTTCTTTAATCAAAATATGTTGACGAACAGCCAAAAAAAAAAACCCCCCACAAATTAACTACTAGCCAACCCGGCAATATAGGGAATTCCCCAGCTATAATAGAAAACAAACACAACAACCTTCGTGATTGGCTGTTAATTGTACCAGTCTCTTTTCGGAGGTTGAACCATTGTTGTTATGGGAAATTCTAACTTACCTCTTGGAATTTTTGCTATCATTCTCAATCCCTAAACTTAAAAGATATTTCAGTATAGTAAACAAAAATCTAATGGCAACGGTCTTGATTAGTCATGCTTTTCTATTATAATAGTTTATTAAATAATTGTCAAGATAATGTTCATGTATCCCCAGGTTATTTTAGTGTGACATTTAATTTGTCACGAGTGATGGATGCCTGTGCTTACTTAACTTATATATATATATATATATATATATATATATATATATATATATATATATATATATATATATATATATATATACGAAAAAAGAAAATATATTTTGAAATGATTAAGAGAAGGTATTGCAAAAAGTGATTAAATATCTTTACACTGGATCATTGATCGGCCTATATAGTTCTACAACTTACTATTTATTGTTCGATCGCTTCATTAGGCGATTTTCTAAATGGAACTTTGTGACCTTTAATCAACAACGATTTATTTTCGTATGATTAAAAAAATCCCTAAATAGATCTTATGACAGTGTTCATAAACTGATTACTATTATAAATCTGTGGAGCTTTTTTTTTATCCACGGGTGTGTAATCCAACTGTTACAAATATAATAAACGATGTTGTATATTGTTGCATGCATTTTTATACGTGAAGCAGCTTATATAAATTCTAGGTTATTGTGTATAATGGTGCGATAGACGCACATTACTATGTTCAAAACTTGCCGTGTTATTAACAACCACCAAGATTTATGTAGTGATTGATACATTCTGGGCCCGAATACACTTGTGTGTAAACAGACAGACCTCGAGTAACCGACCCACAACCAGAAGTACAACTCACCTTTGAACTAATACGTGCTATAGTTTATTCAGCGTTCAAGGACAATCGGGATGTGATGTCGGTATACGTTCAAACGAGAGGGGGTGGTTAAACTGTAACTTATAAAATAGAAACTGTAACTTATAAAATAGAGTGTACGTGTTTTTTTCAAGTTGCACGTGATGGATTATCAATTCTACCCGTGATAAGATGTATTTATTTAGGTATATTTTTAATAGAGATGACTGCTTTATTGGCTACAGTCCTTTAGAATGAAATAACAAAAACAACAACCCTATGAAACCACACGAATCACTAACTGGCAAGTCGACGCTAGAGGGACACTGGCCAAATCGAGATAAGCCATGTTATTGTTAGCTACGGTGACTAGTTTTAGGGGAAGAGACGAGTTGTGTACCTTGTTTATTTCAACAAAGGGGTCATGGTTCAAAATAAAATCTTCAAAATATGGACACATTCATCGTTATTCCATCCATACATTCATAAGCAAACAATTCAGCGTCGGCCCTGTTCCTGACTTGAATAAGTTGCCCATCAGAGCTGGGTGGACTCAGGGACGTTCTACTCACTTGGACCCGGATTTGAACATATAAATTAAAAAATAATTTAAAAAACATCTTGATAATCTCATAATAAGCCCGGTGTTGCCAGGGTAACAAAGATAATTGCAATCATAACCAAAGTGAGAATGTTGCATACTTTATAAACATAATATGATCAGTAATAGTAATTTACAGTGTCATTGACATTCGTGACAAAATCATATAGTCGATTGAACTTTTGGATTGCCAGTTGACAATCGTTTTTAAAAAAGCTCAAATGATATGGACAAGTAACAAGGCCATGTGCTGTGTGTAGTCCTAAGGGCTCGGCCTAGCTAACATTTTCGTGCACAGTGCTAGGCAAAAGAAAATGTATCAAGTAAAATAAAAAAAAAAGACATTATTAAAACTCGGTGAGACACTTAAGATGGTGGGGAAAAGAATGAATGCGTCTAATCGAGTAGCCAGAACATTGTAGGCTACCCCAGCTACGGAACAGATAGAAGTCGAGATAAAGGTAAAAATTAAATAATAATGTTTTAAAAGTCGAAAACATTTCACAAACGACTAACGGAAGTTTATACACAGTTACCGTTCCTAGGCCAAACGAATTCCACAACAATGGCTAGAATGGTAAATTGAATTAATTTAACTGTATCTTTAACAATCCGTTTGTAAACGTGATCATCGATCACTATATTAAAAGTTTTGCATATGACATTTATATAAATATGTTGAAAATGTATTTATTTGTTTATATTCATTACTATTTTTTTAAAGAAAAAATGCCGGTTACAGGCAACCAAATTCTAGAATATTCCCATAGAAATTAATGAATAACCATACAAAAAAAAAATCATGTTTAAACTACATAGAAAAATTACTGGCTGTGGGGTAGATCTATGTGTAATCTAAAGTTCTACTGCTCTAATATATATATAAATAAATACAACAGACTAGAAGTAAAAACTGGTAGAAGCTCATTTCATTCACTTCACTTTCCAAGGGGGGGGGGGTGTAAAAAGTTTGCAGGTGATAGTGATAGATCTACTAATAACTAAAACATGTTTAGGGTAGATTGTGTGTTATAACAGTGTCTGATAATCCCACAATAATGGAATCATGTTGAAACAAGCAGTAGTGTAAGTCGTAAGATAAGTAGTCAAAGGCAGAATAACCTCTAGAGTAAAGTTCCGCGTGAGATCAAAACCTCGGTGGGATCACATTCCTGTTTATCGCTTCGTATAATATTTGTTTGGATGTTTTATACGAAACTACCAATATCTGCTGTAAACATGTCCATTTCTAAATATATCCAGGTCAAATTCTTTTGTTTCCCTCCTTCTGGAAGACTAGTTTTTAAATTTTCAAGTTTCGAGGTATGACGTCGTTGGCCATTCTAGTTCCCCCCTATGAAAAGCACTAGGTCCCGGATGAGATGAATAAAACCAACCAATCAAAGCTTTTATAACTAGGTTAACTATAAATAGCTTCTATTTATGTGCGGGACACTGAAAATACTGTAGTTAAGGCTATTAAAACAATCTTGGAGGTGAAATGGGGGTGATCCCAGCTGGGGTAACGATTTTTGTGTTTTAACCTCGCTGGGTACACCTACGACTTGAGCTAGACTAGCCTAGATCTAGATGCTCTATATTTCAAGCTAAGCCTAGAATCTGTATACTTTCTATTTTTTTCTGTTGTTTTAAATTATTTCAATCATCTACCTCTTCTAAATCTAGTTTGTATCTCTCATCCAATCATATGTTAAGCAAATGTTAAGTTATGTCATGTTAGTGATTGTTACGTCCCTTTGTTATGATTGTTATAGTTGCGTCCCTTGAGTCATCACTGGGTCATCCGTAATGTGTAGTTAATAAATTTAATTAACATGTTTTTTATTTAGTTTTGCAATCTATTAATTAATTATACAATCAACAACACGTTTAAATGTGTAAAATGTTAATTCAATTGTTAAAATTGGATCAAAACGTAAAAAATACGCTAGTGATCCCAAGCAGGGACAGGTGATCTCAAGCAAAAAAAAAAGTGGGAAAAGTTGATCCCAAGCAGGTTCGTCACTAAAACATGAATATCTCAAATACTATGTGTATGAATACAAAATACTTCATGCATATTAGAGTAGAATGGCAGTGGAGTAATAAAGTACTTTCGGTTTGTTTCTGTGTGAAACGGTTACAAAATAGCGCCCGATAAAAATCGGGAGTTTGGAATTTTTCGCTATGTGTGATCCCACGCGGAACTTTACTCTAGATCTTGATCTATCCCTTCTTAACATAAGTATGATAAGATTAAGGCTCAACTTCTTACCCAAACCCTGAGCCAATGAAACACTAAATGATCTTATTAGATCTATTTTCGAATACTACTTCTAGCACCCTCGTTTTGTAAGAGTATTGTCAGACAAATAATAATTTTAACACTTTTAATGTATCAACTCCTTGATCACTTCTAAAGTACTGCCTATTACACCAAAAGAAGCCAACTCGCAGCTGGAAAATAGCAATATCAAACCATTTTGTAGCCTTGGTTTATTTCGTGGGGGGGGGGGGGGGGGGCCTCTATGAGTTGAAGGAAAACAATCTATGACTACTTGAATTTAAATAAATTGAAACCAGTGTTTCTTCCGGCCTTTTTGCTTTGGGGAAGGGGGGGGGGGTTGCTCCACCTGAGCTGCCTGGAAGAAACTGAGACTATAGAGTTGCTCTTTTATTCTGGCTCAACTAAAAAGTAATCGATTTTAAGACAAAAACATTAGGATTACATAATTAGCATGAACACACCAAATACAGACAGACTTTAAGAGCTTTAAGAGTAATTTTTTTTCTCTAGTTCTTGTTCATGGTTGGATCTGTTTTAAAAATTTTGTATTAGTGCTAAATTTTGGGGTTAATACAATCTCTTATATGTTTTAGAATGCTCCAATTATTCTCCTGAAAGAAGGAACTGACAGCTCTCAGGGTAAACCTCAGATACTTAGCAACATAAATGCTTGCTTGACTATTGCTGATGCTGTTAGAACAACTCTTGGGCCCAGAGGAATGGACAAGCTTATTATTGATGAAAAAGGTAACATTTTATAAAGCACCAGTATTTTAGTGCTTCCTTTTCCTTTGTCCTTTTTTTTAGCAAATAAGAGATGCCAAATAATTTATCTGTCATATTTTAAGATGAATGTTCAACATTATAAAAATATAATCATACTTCTGCATATTCTGATATTTTTTTTGTCATGCTGACATAGTTATAATGTCTTGTTCTACTTAAATATATAAAATAACATTAAATGATTTTGATCTTGTAACCAGGAAATGTTGTGATCTCTAATGATGGTGCTACCATTCTTAAAACATTGGACATCATACACCCAGCTGCCAAAACTCTGGTTGACATTGCCAAATCCCAAGATTCTGAGGTATTTATATCCTATTGCAACTATACTATTATTTTAAAATGAAAAATTTCTTTTACTAAAATAATGGAAATTAAATTTGGTATTAACTCATTCACTGCTAAACCCTATTTCAAAAACCTTCACTGGGTCCTAAACTAAGAGAGACAACTTCTGTTTCTTTGGGGATGAAATCTCACACATTCCTTTAGTATATTTAGTAAGTGTGAACAGTCTAGAAGCACTTTTTGCATGAAAATATAGTAGAAGCACAAACTGCAATAATGGCTTTTTGCATGAAAATATAGTAGAAGCACAAAAGGCAATAATGGTGGTGTGTCATTTTGTAATAGGTTGCATTAGTAGTGACAGGGGTGTGTTACATAAGTAGCAAATGAGTAAAATCATTGTCAGTTGTATACTTATATATTTCTTTTATGTAGGTTTATAAATATTTAAAAATAAATGACTGTATGAAGCCATTATCTTGTAGGTTGGTGATGGAACAACTTCAGTGACGCTTCTGGCTGGCGAGTTTCTTAAACAGTTTAAGCCATTTGTTGAAGAAGGTGTGCATCCACAAGTCATTGTGCGTGCTGTACGCAAAGCATTAGCTATGGTGAGCTGATTAAAAACTTGCAAAAAAATATAATCTTTTAATTTAAGAACTTTGATGTAAGTGTTGAATCATTTATCATTTGTACTTCCAACAGGCTCTGAAAAAGATTAGTGATATTTCAGTTCACATAAAGAAGGATGACACAAAGTAAGCCACTCTTTTATTTTAATAATTTGTATAGGAACAGATTTTCATAAATCTGTCTTTGTTTCATTTGTGCAAAGTAAATACTATAACTTTTTTTTCTTAGAGAACTGAGAGAACTTTTAGAAAAATGTGCTGCTACTGCTTTGAGTTCCAAACTGGTTGCTGGACATAAGGAGTATTTTTCTAAAATGGTTGTTGATGCTGTCCAAATGTTGGATGATCTCTTACCTCTCAACATGATTGGTATTAAGAAAGTCCAAGGTGGTGGACTTGAAGTAAGAACTTAACTGTTTTACATGTCTATAAAATGAAAATATTTTCTAATGTGTTGCAGGCTATACTGGTAAGAATAGATTCAATAGGTTTTGTTTGATGTCTGTTACATTTATTTCAGGAATCTCTTCTTGTTGCTGGAGTGGCTTTTAAAAAAACATTTAGTTATGCTGGTTTTGAAATGCAGCCCAAAAAGTATCAAAATCCTAAGATTGCTCTTCTGAATGTTGAGTTGGAATTGAAAGCTGAAAAAGAGAATGCTGAAGTTAGAGTAGAATCTGTACAGGTAAAAATAAAACTTAATAATACATTTTTTAGTTATTGTGGTTCTAGTTTTCAAAATAATTGCTTGGTTGTTCTTGGTGTATTTTGTAGATTTGAATCTTAACAAAACCCTCCTTCTTATCGAGGAAATCTTTGATAATTTAATTTCAGAAACAATAACTATTTTTTTATTTGTAAATTAATCATAATTTAAAATATATTTAACAACAGGAGTATCAAAATATTGTTGATGCTGAGTGGAAAATTCTGTATGAGAAACTTGACAATATTCATAAATCTGGAGCAAAGGTGGTTCTTTCTAAACTTCCAATTGGTGATGTTGCAACTCAGTATTTTGCAGACAGGTAAGGCTGACAAAGTTCAGGATAAGAAATAATTTTTCTTTTTAGTTAAATTGTATACATGGAAGAGCCCAATTACTAGCTCTAGTTATTAATAAGTAACTGAAATGATTTTAAACTTAGCTAAGGAATGATAAAGTGGTGTGTCACTATGATATTATGACTCAGATTTGGACTTTGGAGATTTTTTATAAAGTAATAAAATGAGTAGTATGCCTTTACAACATAATTTTTTTGGTTTAATTAGTTTAAAAAAATGTATTTAGCTTTGTTTCATTAATATCATTAGAGATATGTTCTGTGCTGGGCGGGTTCCAGAAGAGGACATGAAGCGTACCATGAAAGCTTGTGGTGGTTCAATTCAAACTTCAGTACAGAACCTTACTCCCGATGTTCTTGGATCATGTGAATTATTTGAGGAGAACCAGGTTGGCAGTGAAAGGTAAATGAAAGCTGTTTTATTCTTTTTTTTTTATAAGATCCATGGGTGGTGGAGATTATAAGGCTAATATTTAGTTCCACATGAATAAAATAGAAGAAATTCATTTTGAATAATTGTTGGCACATTTTTTTGTTTATTATGTTTGAATCAAAATATGTTAATTTGCTAATAATAGGGTAAGATCTTTTCTGCTATCTTCAAAATCATCCGAGCATCTGTTATGTGGAAATGAATGTATTATACATAGTTTAGGCATATCAGACTTACATATGAAATATTTTGGGATTGTAGGACTTGTGTAATGAGGAGGGTATACAGCTTTTGTGATAATACGATTTGGATTGTTGTCACCCACAGTTTTTTTTTATTAATCCCTGCATTTTTATTGTCTTTTTTTCCTTCAGATTCAATATTTTCAAAGGCTGCCCACAAGCAAAAACTTGCACTATTATCATCAGAGGAGGAGCTGAGCAGTTTATGGAAGAAACTCACAGATCTTTACATGATGCTATAATGATTGTTAGAAGAGCAATGAAGAATGATTCTGTAGTTGCTGGTAATTAAACAATTTTCCAGTGTACCTTTTTTTTTTTGAGTCCTTGAAAAATAGTTATACAAACCTGAGTGCAGTAGTTTATTTAAAAGCATGCAAATTACATTTGAGAGTAACAGTTCATTTTTGGGGTGACCATTTCTCATTCCTTTTTGACAGGTGGAGGTGCTATTGAAATGGAATTGTCAAGTTACCTGAGAGAGCAATCGAGAACTATTCAAGGCAAAGAACAGCTTCTCATTGCAGCATATGCTAAAGCACTAGAAGTTATTCCTAGACAGCTGTGTGACAATGCTGGATTTGATGCAACAAATATTCTTAATAAATTGAGACAGAAACATGCAACAGGTAAGAGCATTATTTTTAGTTTGAAAAATTTGAATAAGTTGGTACTTAAGTTTTTAAATAGAAATACATTAGTGCATTATTTTTAGCATTATGTTAATTTTTAATGCCACATGACTAAAAATATTTGTTATAAAACTTGATCAGTAGTAGCCATAGATCTTAACTTCTATTATTAGACTAGGTGTAGTTAGCTCTCTAGTGTGAAAACATAAGTGAACAATTCTCTTCTGTCAACTGGCTGTTGAAGAAAGAAGCAATTGCTAGTATTTAATCATGTAAATCTCCCCCTTTGTTATTTAATATAATAATCTTTAAATAAATATTTTTATAATTAATTTAATATCTAATTAAATAAAGTTTACAAATATAATGTTAAATCATTTCAGGATCAAGGTGGGCTGGTGTGAATATCTTGCAAGAAGATATTTCAGATAATTTTGAGGCATTTGTTTGGGAACCTGCTGTTGTGAAAATTAATGCACTAACTGCTGCATCTGAAGCAACCTGTCTTATTCTATCTGTTGATGAAACCATTAAGAATCCAAAATCTGCACACGATGCACCTATGGGTAGAGGTCGTGGACGGCCAATGTGATCAATTTTTTAATGTATTTAAATAAAATTAAACCTCATTAATATTGAGCAAACTGGCCAATTTTATTTAAACATTTAAGGAAAGCAAATTCATTCCTTGTTTTGCTGCATAGTTTGCTCATCATGCTATTTCCTTTTATAATTGCTGTTGCTTGGCTACAATTAAGTACATTTAACTTATTTCTAAATGAATGAAACCACTTTGTGATCAACTATTTCATTTTCATTGCCAAGTGCAGGCATTTAGAAAGGAAACATTTGTATTGTTTGGCTAATCTGGATGAATTTTTTTTAACTAAAAGTTTAAGTTCTATGCATGGTTGAGTATGTATTAAAGTCTGTTTTATATATTTATACATCTTCGTTTCATTTTCCATTTCTTAATTAAACAATTTTTAAAAACACCAAATTGAAGCCCTACAGAGATTACTGTAATTCTTTCAATGTTTTTTTAAAAAAAAATAATTGAATTAATTTAAAGGACTTGAACACCAAATAAAGTTTATCAATATTTAACTCATTTGCTAGCAATGTTGAACAACTTAGCAGTTAATATGAAACAGCAATAAATGATACTTTCTTTCATCTGATGTACAACAAAAAGTCCAATTATTATCAGGAGTTTTATTTTCTTCAAATCAACTTTTAGAACAATAACTACACAGTATGAATTATACAAAGGTATTATTATAGGAGGGAAAAAAACATAAAGTTATTTTTCTCAGGTTACAAAGACTTTGGCAATAGATAAAAAAATTAAAAAAAAAAAAAAACTCATCTTGGTAATATTAGCTTTTTATCCAGGTATGCTCAGCAAAGTTTAAATTGCCTTCTGATTCAGCAATGGAATGCTTTAAAAAAATTCTACTTTTTAAAATATTTGATGTTTTAAGCACAAAGGGAAAAATGCATGAATGATGTTTATAAACAAGGTGTAAATTAGGTTTTATATATATACATTGAACAACTGTCTTTAAAAATATCCACTTGCTTCCAATTGTTGTTGACAGAGACTAACTACATTTAGGATCCATGCAGTGACAAAGTATTAGCTGTAGGCTCATAATAGTTAATGTAGCTGTTAAATGCATCTAGTTCTAACATTCTGTAATAACCTAGTACAAGACAAGCAACAAACACAAGATTAATAACTTGCTATTTCATCACTTAAAGTGTAAATGCTCATCACAAATGTTTTTTTTTAATACAACATAGGCAGATATAACATTTAAATGTTTTACACATCCCAATCCAATTTTTAAAGTCCTTTTTATAAAAGAAATCAGTTTATATTTCTTTCATACTAGTTTAAAGGCCTACATAGATCTTAGTTGACATGGTGTATATAAATTCAACACAATTTTACAACTCACATAATCATAAAATATCCTTGTAAACAAGATGAATGCAAAGTGTTATAAATATTATATTCAAATACTGATAATTTACTAGACAAAAAACTATTCAAAAAATTTTTTTTTTTAGCTTTACTTAAATCACAGGTTATTAATTATACAGATTGTTTTACTTTTAACATAAAAAATTTACTAGCTCATTAAAAACAATCACACATACCAATAAAAAAAGTATATTTAAATTATAACTTTCATATTTCAAATTCATTAATAATATCAATCTCAACATAAAACAACATAATACCTCAAAATATTTAGAGAAAACAAAAGATGAAAACAATTGGCAAAAATACAAAACAATGTAAGGTTGATAACATGAAAAATGTGATCAAGATGAGTTAAACTTATTTTTACTCCCAGAAAAATCACAGTTTAAAATTTGAAAATTATACCCTGAATAAAAAAATTAAACCATCAAATATTACATTACAAGCATGATAATGATAGCAAATTTAATCATACAATTTTAACCTGAGGGCAAGTGCTGAAAATGGACATATAGATTTGAATTTGATAATAGGACAACCAGTTGCCGTTATGATTGACAATAATGCTTGTTTAATCAAATAATGTTATTGGTCAGATTTACAACATGAAATTTATAACTTTCAATAGCAGATGACTTAAACAATCAAAATTGTTCCAATTAATAAAAATAAATAAATTATCCAAATATTTTTTGCATCTTAAGTATTTTTGAGCTATTAACACAATGAAGTTAAATAGCACCATATGTGCTCATTCTTCTGTATTTAACTACATTGGAGCCCTGAACTCTTTTTCCTTGTATTATTAGTCCAACACTAACAAGAAGGAAGAGACAGAACAGAACCATCAGAAGAGCAAAAGTAATGGTATATATTGTGACCTCTGGATAGTCAGCTGGATAGAGGTTGCTCTCATTAAGGACAAATCCTAATGTCCAACCAACCTCTGTGGCAGAAACCTGTTAAAATAGTTTGATGTGAAAATTAAAAGTCATACAAAATTACACCAGCTTTTGGTATTGTAAAACTGTATTACACTACAACTGTACCAACTAGGATAAAATAGTTTTAAAGCTTGTGCTTATCTAATGCAGAGTAATAATACTTTGCTCAAATACATCTTTTTCAAAATTGACTGACAATCCCACCTTCTAAAACTGAATCTAACCAGATACACTAATGTGTATTTATGTAGAAACTTGTACAAAGATTTCAATTTTCAAAACCTACAAGTAAAATATCATTTATCTAAATTTTTCCCTTAATCATTGCAGAAACTTTTTTATGTAAGAATGTGCAAAATTGTAAAATTATGTCCCTTTAGTGAAGCTGATTAAAAAAACCTTTTTAATATAGTGGTATATAACACCATTTGGTTGATTTTTATAAAAAATAAACTATACAAAACTCTACCTTTTCAACAAAATTAATTCCCAGCCAATCAGAATCAGAAAATTTGAATCCATCATATAATAAAAGATTGATGTAGCTTGATTGCAAACAGTACCACATTAGATTTTGGAGTTCCTGCTTTGTCACATTAAGTTTTAGCAACTGAAAATAAAGTAAAAGATGTAGCTGCTAGTCCACACTTAATTTTGTGCTTCTAAAATTTTTGCTGAGACAAAAATAAATAAAATCATATCTGGTACTGAAATGAGAATGAAGAAAACTTAATTTAATTTTAGTGAAAGAAGTTAATGCTATATAAATAGATTTAAACACTAAACAGTAATGTTGATGGAGATCTGACAGGTATTAAACTAGTATCATACCTCATCCCAGGTTGAATTGCAAATTTTGTCTTTGGCACTGACAAATCTGCTATGTTCAAAGGATGATGAGTTACTAGTAGTAAGATTCAAAAAGCTTGAAACATAAAAGTAACTGGAAAATGCCTATAAATAAAGAAAGGAATATGGATAAATTACTAAAATTTAAAATTAAATTCAGTGAGCAAATCTACTGTTTTAATTTTTTAAAATACTGACAACTTACATAAAACGGGCCTGATATTTTAGGCTGGTAAACTTCATTAAATGAGCAGTCTGAGTAAGGGCAGAATGAAGTATTAAACAGTGTAGTATTTAGAATACTTTCACAAGCTTGTACATTGCTGCGTCCCATAAATGTGAAGTTCTTGAGAAACAATTATGAAATTTTGAAAAATAAAACACTGATAAAAACACATGATTAATAATAATGAATAATTTTAAAAGTTAATAGATAAACAGCATTTTATTAACACTGATAAATGGAACAGAAATATCTTATCAAAATAAAAACACTAATAATGTGTTTAAACCTCAGCCAGGGAATGCATTTAACAATTTTAATAGTTAGCAGAGTGAGCCAGTAATCATAGTTAAGAACTTTAGAAATTGAGTAATTTTCACATACCTGCACTGTGTCATAAAAAGGTAATCTAGTTGCAGCAGATTTGGTGCATGGAGAACCAAATATTTCATTATAAGACATGGTCACATTGTAGCCAGTAGGTAAACAAGGGTGCTCAATTTCTGTGGCATTTGTAGCTTTACCCTACAGGTATAATAATTATACAAACAGATTATGATTACAGTTCTAAGTTTAAATGCATTACACAAGCAGTAGCAGACTATGGTTGAAACTGACTATACATACAATAATATAAGAACGGACTGGATAAACAGAACATACGTTACCTTAACTAGTGCAGCCAAAATCTGGTTAGTTACTTCCATTACACCATAGCATAAATAACTGTGTGTGTAAACAGTATAGTTGTGCCCAAACAGCCTGAGACTAGTGTTGTACTCTGAAGGCATGCTTGCATTGCTATCTGGTACAAATGTTATTTGTGTTGAGGCTCCTCCCAAATCTAATGCACCAATGGTTGGCACAATTGTAAGTGAAAGTAGGTCTTTAATCCCTGGACGTTGCTACAAAACAAATGTAAAATTTATAAAAACTACAGTAACTCCTTAACTGAGATTTTTTTTAGGTTATTTGTATCATAATTAATTTAAAACAAAAATCAACTAACTTACAACTTTGAAAGCATTAGCAACATAATTGCTGGTAATCCAGGAGAACAAGCCTTCCTCTGACCCAGAAATTATTCTTGCAGATGTACCAGGTGAAGTAAATTTGAAAGAAGATGATGTGAATACCTTACGAACTGATTCAAGGATGGCTTCACTGGCTTTTGGATTGGAAAGACTGAAATTAAATATAAGATATGAATTTCAAAAGCGCAATAAACTGCAACCAATTTTGGTTCTTTATTTTACCAATAATCTCAAAACCAATGCTTTTGGTTGAATGATTGTTTTAGCATGCTCGCTAATAAACCTATCGTGTATGATTATGGTAACAATGTTATACATTTTGAACAGTTTTTAAAATTAAAATTGTCACATGTATACCAAATAAAGCTTACTTTAACAATCTCATTCCAGCAGTAGCACCAAGATATATAGGTGTATCTACATGTTTGTTTGCAGGGACTGCTACTTTAGCTTGAGATATACATCTCTCTAGTGACTTGCCAGCTTCGTCTGGGTTATTTGCAAAGTTTGCAATACCTGCTCCTGAAAAAGTAGAATTTAAAAAAATATTGCTTGATTTCCACATTAATAGACATTAACATTTGTTAATAACTTTTTGTAAAAAAAAGTTTAATTCTGATTTAATACAAATAATGGATACCTACAACATTTAATTTTTATCAATTTTAATAGTAAAGCAAGGTATACTAATGAACCTTACAGTAAATGGGGTAAGTGAAGAAGAGTTCACCTGTTTTATTGACCTCAGCATATGAATGAAAAGTGCAGTCAGCACTATGCTAAGCCTACTTTACTTTCCCTAATGTGAGTGATGGATCATTTAGAGCTGGGTGGACTCTTGCACCTCACATGGACTTAGCCCCAGATCTGAACTTGAGACTTTTGGGTTAGCAGTTAAGTTTCTAATAAAAGGTATTTACTAACCATCAGCAGCACATTTTTCTCCTGACTGTACTGCTACTGCTGTTCCATTTAATTTTGATCCTTCCCATTTATATATAAACATTGCTGTATGGGTGGAACCAGCATCAAATACAATGGCATACTGAAAAAACAAAAGACTATAAAAATAAGCATTTATTTTTTAAAATAGTTTATTTTGTTTATTAAATAAAGCAATACAAATTAATAAGTGAATTCCAAATAAATAAATAATTTTCAAGAACAAAAGTAAAATGAAATGCAAAAACAAACAAACAAACAACTTACATCAGTTATAGGCTCTGAATCCTTAAATCTGATGACACAAAGGGCCACAATACCCACTGTTCCTATAATAAAGCTAACGAGAGCCAGAAACCAGAATGTATTACAACGACATGGTGTTGCAACCTCCACATCTGTAATGGGATGAAGAAATAAATAAATCTGAAAATATATTTATTTTTAATTAATGATAAAAATACATTTGAGCAAATAATGTACTCAATTGTCATGATGGTTAACACCCGGTCTGGAAGAATTGTTTTAGAATCTGAAATTAAAAGCTGCAATTTATATCCCTTTATTTAAGTACATAAATTAGTTCTAATACACTCTTGAGTATAATCACACTGATTGAAAGTATGTAGCAGGAGCAATAAAGATAATGATATATCCCCTATAAAAAAGAAATTAAATTTATTATTTCATAGAACATACTTTCACTTGTCCAATGAAGGAATGCACCATCCTGCACACCAATATGACTTAGTATATCAGTGCGTTGCAACAGATCATGTCCTTTACTTCGTAGACAGTACTCTGGTTTAAGAGGAGAATTAGCTTCCCTACATAGTTCTCTAAGTAATTCCTCAACAGTAGCATTTGGTGAAATGCGTAGGCGAAATCGTCCTTGGGGTTCATCAGATGGTAGAATACTTTGCACTGTAATCTCTATTTCTTCCATGATAACATCTAGAATGTTGAATTATAAAAGAATAAACCTTAAAGCATTAATTCAAGTTTGTGTTGATTTTACCCATTTTACATTAAGAATACTTGTATAAAATTTTTAGCTATAACAAAGTTTCAGATATCAGTATATAATAGTATATTTTGAAAATTACAGTAACTAAACATTTTTTATTGTGCTTAAATAAAATAAACGCAATTTTCTTTTTTGCAAAATTTAAAATATCTTTACGTTTATCCAATAAGCAGAAATCATCAACTATGGATTGTACGACCTCTTACAAAAATTCACTATAGACTCAACAAAGTTGGTGATATGATTAGTATTTATTATAGATCTAGTCGGTGTTGAGTAAGCTAGTGATCACTTACAACAAGAGTTCAAACATTGCTCTTGTTTCAACTTACAATGTATGAGTGAGAATGAATTTCTGATGTAAATAATTAATACAACTACAACACTACCATTTAGCTTGTGTTTTACTTCACTGCAAATACCTCTAGACTGACTAGCGTCTGGGATAGATTTTGTGTAGGCCAACTAGATCTAGTCCTAGATCTAGCTACAGTAGACTAGCTAAGACTCAGACTTCACTGAGACTAGCTAGGCTACTTAACTTATTTTTATATTTTATTTATTATGACTACTACTAGATTCTAACTAGAATCAAGATCTTAATAAATAAGATACAGCAATAACTCACTTATCTATGGATAAGCCGTAAATAATTAATATACTTTAATGTATTTTGGAACATTAAAATAGTATGGGTTAAATTTGTGAAAGTAGCTCATAAACAAACACGGTATCAAGAAAGAAGGGATGGCATTATTTTCCCTATTTACACCTATGTAGCCAGGTATGCTGTAAATGTTTACATTCTGAAAATCTTTCAAAATATATGTTGAAAACATTTTGATTAATAACTAACAAACAAAATGTAATAGAACTATTTCGAAGTATTTGAAATATACTATATTAATGCAGTCCTAATGCATGCTTTTTAAAAATATAGATTAGTTAATATAAACATTTTTGTTTACACACTAAAACATTTATTTACAAAAAAAAATACATATTTTATTAATTGTAATTTTAATGTATGAATACGTTTTTATCGAAGCCGAGAATATAACATAATTTTTTTTCTAAAAAAAATGAGCATATAAAGCATTTAAAATTTTTACAGAATTTTTAAAAATATAATTTTAATTAAATTAAAAGTTAATAATAATATGGCTTACCAGGCAATAACTTAAAGAAGGTGGATCTCTTGGTGTAAAAATATGTACGCATTCAAGTGTGCAATGCGAAACAAATAAACTAGGCTTTAAAGTCGTGTAAACGGAGTATTGCATTCAAGACGCTGTCGTGATATTTGTGCTTTTTACATTAGTTAAAATAGTGAAGGATTAAATATTTCAAGATGTTTATAACTTTTGAGTAGTGAAACAAACTTTCTTGAAAATTATGCTGTTTATATGAATGGATTATGATAATAGCGTGACGTCACAGTCTAATTACAAGGGGGCAATATAAAAACTATTGTCGAAGTTTCTTCATGTAACGCGATATTGTTTTTTTTTTTTGTGCGACAAATTAATGGAATGGAAGGTGGCCAAGTCAAGGTATTAAAAATATTTAGATCTAGATCTAAATCCGAGTTTTAAATTGTTAATTAAAAAATAATTTTTGAAATAGATTTCGCGGAAGCATTTTCTTTGGACGTGTATTTATTGAACAAGTGACCTAGATGCGAGTGTCGATTATCAGATTGTTGGTATTATATTCACATGCATGCGTTGGCCTGTGACTACGGTGATGCTTTCGATTGTGAAGTAGATTTAAAATGTCTTTTTTTCAGTTTGAGGGGGCTCCTTGCCTTCAACATTGTAACTACATCTTTTATAAAGCTTTCAAATACAAATTAAACGAACTTTATAGAATATTGGCTATTGGCGATTTTTTCTTCTTGAAAATATTACAAGAAATTGTTTGCATCGGTGAAATAGAGCTGTTGTGGGAAGACAAGGCATCGAATCAACTTTTAGCGAGTCTTAAATTATATTTTCGACCTGAACATACACCCGAAGGGAGACATGATGATACTGGAGAGGTAAGTTGTATGAATTTATTTTAATTATTTTTTAAATTATTTATTAGTTTTTTTTTTTTTTTTTTGCTCTCTATTAAAAATAAAAAAAAAGACAAACAGTAGATTTTAGTTTAGAGTTTAGAGATGATTAAGTTACTTAGGTCGGAATATTAATTAGATTTAGAAATCTCTAGAGTCTAAATCTGGATTCTAGATATAGATCTAGATCTAGATCTAGATCTAGATCTAGATTAGATTAGATCTATTACTCATAAAAATAAAAGTATTACAAGGCCTAGTCTAGATCTATACTAGATTCTAGATTCTAATTAATTACTTAAATTACTATAACTGTTACTATAGTTTAGTAGGCCTATAGTATACAGTTAGTGATTTTCTAATAGGTCTTACTCTTAATCTAGATATAATCTAGATCTAGGCCTAATTATTTTTATTATGCCTAAATTCCCAAGCAAGGCATAGAGTGGGAAATTCTCTTTAAAAATAAATACATCTTTAGGCCTATAGATTTCTAACCCATATCTAGATCTAGATTGGAATCTAGCACCGAATTACCAATTTTATTTAAACAATTTGTTAGTAATTTAACTGGTCCTAATTATTTTAGTAATAATCCAAAGTTTATTTTTTATTACATTAAAAGGCTAATCTTTGGATATTAACAAACATTAGGCCATGATATATGCCCCTATATTATAATTTTCAGTTTCAAACTTTCACACTTAAATTAATAGCCTATTAAAAAAAATAATCAAGATCTTTCAATTTAAAAAGAAAAATAAGGGAGTGGTGGGAAGAGCAATTCAGTTTATTTTAAATATTATCCCAGACCAGGGGAAAGTAAATTACAGTGTGATTTATTTGGCTAATAATCATTTTCTTGAACTTATTGAGCTTTTCAAATTTATATTTGTAATCTGTCTTAAATTAGAGTAATACTCAATTAATGTTTCCAAATAAACTTAATTAGTCATCATTAGATAGAACGATCCTTTTTAAAAGCATCGTTGATATGCCCAATGTGTCACTTCAAGTGTGTTAAACATTACTGTGAAGTATGTGTGTTCCCACCTCTTTCTAACATTGTCTTTATGTACTGTAAACTTTATTATTTTTATTGATTGTTGGGGGTCGGTAACACTGAAATACAGAGCAAACACAAAGAGAATATTTGACTGTTCTAATTTATGTGCTGGTGTCTCTTTACACGCGAGATAGGGAACGAAAACGGTTGGTCATTGAAAACACCGTGAAACTATGTAAATGAAGAGTGTAAATCGTAGCATAAGCCACCGACCCCGCCACACTTCCACCTTTCCCTCCCCTATTACCCCTCTAAGCCTGCTTGCTGCCTGCTGGCGTCTCTGCTCGTGGCTCAAACCGTGTTATGGGAAAAGGGTACTAACGAAATAAATAATATTTCAACTATATTTAGCGTTGCTTAAATTTGGGTTCTGTGTTCTAGTCTTAATGGTATCCATTCGGTACTCTGTTAAACTGTATTTTTATCTACTGTAATCCTCCTAAAGAATGATCTTAAAAAGATTTAAATAGTTTTAACTATTTGAAAATTTTATTGATTTATTTCTTGCTTTATCGTAGCCTTGTTTTTACACGGTGCTCGCGTGCACTGGCCTAAAATTCAATACCCTATCTAAAACGCTGTTATAAAGCTTTCTAGATAAGGTACTGGATCGCGACTGTATATTGTGCCATAATTATTGTGGCAGATGCGAATTATGTATTACATGAATATTTAATCAATAATGCGTTTTTACAAGCGTGTAAAAAAACCTCTGTGCTAGCTCATATTAAACCGATGGGGAGGGGGGGGGGGGGGATCTAGTTGGATGGGATGTGATACTAGCAAGTCGGAAGTGACTAATGTATTTGTACAATTAGATCACGTGAACATAAGATTGCTTGCAATTTTGAAAGATACGTTTGTAACGGAGCTTTTGTACACATTTAAAAATAGATATAATTTATTTCTTCTTTGTACCGGCCCCTCCCGGATTTAAAAATAAAATTGAGTGGGCCTATTCCTATGATTTAAATAATTCAAGAGGTGCAGATAATCAATAATATACTGTAGGCCCGTTGCTTGATTTGTTTAACGTGTAGCGTCATATGATTATTAACAGCCCGATAATAGAAATATTTTCCATCCACTCACAAGTTGACAAGGAGCCATTATAGACGCTGATCTAGATATTAATGTAGTTAGATGGAGAGAACATAATTTTAGCCGTAAGAAGCGGAAGGGAAATTAAGTTATTTTGCAGCCTGTTAAATTGGTATTTATTGTAGTTAGTGTGTGTAAATGCGTATGGAATTTTTTGTTTCGTTTTCTTTTTCTTTTAAATAAAAAAAATCAAGTAGATTATTTAAAAAAAAAACGTCACTTGATTATTTAAAAAAAATTGTGAACATAGACTTCAACAGAATTCAATGTACACACAAACAAAAGTTGAAGTTGTTGGCTAGTGTGAAATAAAAAAAAAAGAATGACACCTTATAATAGCGATACTGATGATCGAATACATGAGGCGACCATGCATTTATGGGGGAAAAATAAGGTTGCTAAATAACGCTGTAAAATTACATGAAGAAATAAGCACTCGGATAATTTTCAAACAGTACAATTTTCCCCCTTTTAAAAATGCAAGTTTCCCACCATCCCTGACAGCGAGTTCATTTCAATAACGCGTTAAAAAATGTTACTGCTGGCTAAATATCAGTACAGGAGAGACTCGTCAGTGTCGTAGACACCGGCTGGTTATGATAGTGCTCCGCTGTGCTTGTGGGGTGGGGGGCAGTTGGTGGCTGAGGGCTGTGTGAAAGTGTCTTTCTTCTTCCTGTACATGCATGACTTTTCTTCCCAGCTGTTTCGCGTGGACTTGGGGGGAGCAACCCATTTTTCTTTGTTGTTCTGCGATTTGAAACTTCCTTTTTTTTAGAATAAAAATAAAACAAATGCAAAAAAAAAAGAGATTACACTTTTTTTCCCCAAATACTCAATTGATTAAAAAAAAAAAAACCAAAAAAAAAAAAAAAAAACAACCATCTCATGTATAAAGAACCTACTTGGGATGGGGGGAAGAAGATAATGTAGAGTGGGTATCAGTAAATTGAAATATACACTCTATGATGAGATAATTTTTTTTCCCCAAAATTTGTGCTTAATTTTTTTTTTATTAAAAATCGAACTTGCAGTGAAAAATGTAAAAATAATAATTCAGCAGTTATTCTAGTTATTCGCCACACAGCTTGCATAATCTTGAGATGTTTATTCTTTTTTACGTGTGTTGCTTATTCGCATTACTCCAGTAATAATAAGATCCACGTTTTAATTTAAAAAGAAAACAGGATGGGATTTTTTTTAGGCTTAGCCTAATATTAATGCCGTCGGGTGCGTGTTGTTAAAAATAGGATCCAATCAATGTAAACAACATGGTTAGATTCTAAGGCAAATACGTATTCACATACATTTATTGCCATTTCTAATCCAGCACACAATAGCTTGGCCTAGTCTCGATTGTGCGGTTTAAACACGCCTTATCGGTGTACTATTTATAAAGAGGAGAGAGAGAGACACACACACACAGAGGGAAAAAAAACAGCTCAGTAAAATGATTTTAACCTCGGTGGCGGATCTGTTTAGTATCCTTTTCATCGCGACTCGTATAACGAAAAACCTGTGGAGTCGTTGTACATTGGGCTTCTTTTTTCCCCCCTCCCTCTCCCCCTTATCCTCTTACTACAAGACCAGTCGAAGTTAATACAAAGCGTTTCTGCTTTATTGCCTAGGGATAAAATAATATTAAAAAAATATTCCTCGCCTCTCTTTCTGTTTTCTTTTTGTAACTTGCATCCTGCTTTATTAAAGAGATAATAAAACATTTATTTGCGGAGAAGATTTCTAATCTTCAACAAACAAATGCAATGAAATATTTCAAGTGATTTTAATTAGCCTGAACTAAGTTTTCTTTCTTAAAAATGAATATTATTGATTTTTCTCCCCGATGTTTTGAAAGAAAAAAAAGGGGGGGGGGCTTTACTGCAAACCAGCTTGAAAATAAAAGCTTTCATATCGGATATAAAATAACAATTGCTTAGTAGCTGTTATTTGTGTTAACACAGCATTCAGTTTTTAATGGAAATAATGGAATCGCAAATACATTTGTGAAGCTATCGTGTTTGAACTACGCATTAGGGATAAAAAAATAAAATTAACAAGCGTTGTTTGTTATTTAACATCGGGAGTCTATTAGAGCGAGCGAGTTATCTAGAAATTGGAAAATGTACTTTGTTGAGTTGTTGCATGCGGCTGAATGTCAGAGCACACGTTAATGCATCGATAAGAAGAAATAAACCACGATGCCCCCCCCCCCCCTCCCCGCCCGCCCGCGCGCCCCCATGTACTGTATTATGAATACATCGTTAATCAACTGTAGATTTAACACTAAGAGAAGGGACCTGTACGGCGAGATAGAGAAAGCGAGGGAATTTAGGTTATTATGGGAGATAACCGTAACCTTACGGTCACTGATTTTTGTTCTAAAAATAAAAATTGGCGTGTCAATTATAATCTGGTACAGCTTACTCAATTCGAACTAGTAACACGGCTAAATGTAGATATTGGAATACACACTTGTTTACAAAATATTCGTAGTTGGTGTAAATGTTTACAAAGTAATCGCCGAGATCGACCCCCCCTCCCCCCTATTTTATTTTTCTTTCTCGAGCTACACGCTAATAGTCTCGAGGCATTTATCTAATTACTTTATTTATTTCACGTAAACAAAGAAAGATGGTGGCTGGTGGTTTCGCCCAGATGTAGCTTGTTGGTATATTTTTTTTCATATCATGAATAAAATAGTTTTACCGATTCCCCTCTCCCCACACACCTATAACCAAGATTAGCTGATTCCCCTCCCCGACGCATTTATTTCATATAAACATTTTCTTTTTAAACCGTTTCCTTTTAAATTAAGGAA